TTACACTTCACTTTGTGCAAATAACAATCTAACCCATAGAAAAGAAGAACTGATATCATTTACCCTATAATATTCTTTTCCCTATCTTGGCCTTATATTTTTGTCCTTTAATGCCTTAATAAAAGACAGCTTATTCAGATAACTGATAATTGTTCAGAAGAGCTTTTCTATTTAATATTGATAAGAAGATTACATTCTTTTAAAATGACTCTATGACCGTAACCCAGTTGAACAATTGACAAAACATGGTGCTACTGTACTGTACTGTTTTTGAAAGTCATTTTCTGATGTTTAAAAATAAGTTGTATCTTGATGAATATGATCTTGTGCAGGATGTTCTGCATAAATATATGTGTTTTGGGTCATAGTACGCAAACAATAGTTGTAGATCTTGTAATTGTTTTGTATATGCATATGTATTATTGTTTTGGGTCTTGTACGTGTACATATGAACATGTAATTGTTAATGTTTTGGGTCTTGTGCAATCGTATGTAATTGAGTTACCCCTGATAAAACCAACATATGATAAAAGGATTTCAGAAGTGGAAATCATGCATGTTTAGTAACGAAAGCTTTCCGGATTAGTCGTTTGTGTATTACATGTATGTTATATTTAGTATTTATCAACAATGCATAATCTAGGTCTTAAATGCCCTGAACAGGTAAAAGATTTCCTTTTATGTGTTGGAAAATAAGGACGTCTAAAATCATTATTATTTTGAAAGCTACGTATTATCAAGTTTTTGCTTAAAACCTTATTAAAGTATTAACGGCAAGTATTTTAAAGGTCTGTAAATTATTGCTTCAATGAAAATATGAAATATGAAGATAACGAATAGTAATCAAGAGCATAAGTTTAAAACAATACAAATTGGGAACAGAGCAAACACGGACTTGTACAACCATCAGAGGTGGAATCGGGTGTCGTGGAGGAGTAAGCATCCCCTGCCGACCGGTCACACACCGTAAGCTACTTGTCATGATCGGGCAAACCAAAAAAAAAAAAAAAAATCCGTAGACAATTCTGTGTGAAAATAATGGCCTTACAATTTGTATGAAAAACGCCAGTCAACATTTGACATAATAAGGGATTGTATTTGCTGATAAGGTCATTGTATCGACCATAGAATTTGCGAAATGTTGACTTTAAATGAGATTGTTAATATCCTTGTACCCTCAACTTATATGTCAAGAGCTTACCTCCTTTTAGAGATTATTCGTGCGTAGAACATGCTCTTGCATATCGAATCAAGTAGCTAGGAAACATAAAATCCATGTTCAGGTGGTAATGTTAAATTGGTACATAAATAAGGGAATTAGAAAAGTTGAAGTCATCACGTTTATCATAAAGTTTTGTTGTTAAGTTACCATTAACGTCTTTTCCAGTAATATATATATATATATATATATATATATATATATATATATATATATATATATATATATATATATATGAAACAGATGTCCTTATTTCAATTTCAAAGGGATATATCGAATCAATATAGGAATGAAAATGAAAATTGTTAACTGATAAAACGTCGTCAATATATCTAAATGTTGAATTGAAGACCACAGAAAGATACTTATTTTCATGTAGAAGTTTTTGAATAAATTCTGCTTCATATGAATATAAAAAAATAGGTCTGCTAATAACGGGGCGCAATTAGTACCCATTGAAATTCTATGGGAATTATCGTAGGGAATGGTTGCATAAAATGTAGAAAAGTCCTACGTTTTGATTTTATAGATTTTGGAGAGATTTTATGATTTCAAATTTTCTAAAAGTTCTTTAGAATTTTTAAGTATCTACAACTGATTAGCACCACTTCTTGAATATTATACTATTGAACAGTACTCCTAAAGTTTCTACTTCACTACTGATAATATTTAATGAGGAGTAAAGAAAGAAGCTTGGTAGAACATTTACTGGAATCCACTTCATTTAATACATTTATTACATGGCTGTATATTATATGATAACGTCTGTATAAATTATGAGTTACAAATTCTCGAAAGGGCCGTAAAACAACATACATTCAATAAATCTATGATTACTGAATGATACACAGAATATGGTGGGTGTGGATTTGAGGGGGCGAGGAGCTTGTTTGGTATAAAAAAAACTCTCTTCACAAGGAAGCAAAATATAGTATTTAAATATGTATATGTTTACTCTTGGACAAGAGCTCTCCTTGTTGTCGGAGAAATGTCCTGTTCTACTAAAGGTAGTATTTTACATCTGGTATTTCAAACTTGAAAGGCTGTTATACCTATGCCTTATTACATCATCAGTATGCGCTTCTTTTTAATCTTCGACATCCAACTAGCTATCACATGACTTAAAAAGAGCTAAAATGTATACGCACATGACATCCAAAATGATTGAACATTCCACGTTGTTTATTCATTCGTCGGTTTGATCTCATTGAATTTAAGACATGCACAGCTTTCAAATAAATTTTATGAAATATTTTCATATATGTACATCTATATATTTAAAAAAAAACAAACATACCACAATTGATATTGGATTACGGTGTTATTTAGAAAAGAAATTCTTGTCTATATTTTTGTAGTCATTTAAAGATCTAAAATTCAGAATCAAAGTATTATAACAAATAATAATAACAAAGGTATGTTAAAATCAAAACTATAGTAATTTAGATTTTTCTTTAGTTATCTTTTGCTAGATAGATGACAAATGTGTTTTGACATTGAAACAATAAATAAATGTGATGTTATGAAGCATCAAATTTGTAACAGTTGCATCTTTAATTTTTTAACTGAATTCTCCTCATATATTTCTGCATATAAGACGGCAACAACTTCACTTCTGTGGTTTTTGCCTTTCGCACCTCTAGTGATATTGCTCAAGTCGTATCTCTGTTTCGAGGGTCCTACTATTCGATCCCGCGACGAAAGGATCAACTCCTTACTCCATGACTCTAGAGCAGAACGCTCTAACCACTGCGCCATGCGGGCGACTTTCCGATCTTGTCATTAGAATTATACTTCAATCAATCGCCTTATGCATTCTGCTCTCAAACTCACGAAGTCTGCTTTCCATCTCCTTGTAAGTTCTACTTCTGTATAAAATCACTGTTATGACATTACTTTTAAGCTTTGTATTCCTTGATACTGTATAACGCTGATGCTGTTTTTCCAATCCCGAAGTTGATTTCTTCATAAATCTTTCCACTCTTGTTGACAACGTTTTCTAGGAAGCGAATACAATTAGCCTATTTTTTTCGTATTTGAAATTTTTGGATGCTCTTATTGTTTTTCCTCATTATCTTTAATTTGTTTTGGTTTATCTTGATCACAAGCTTGTCTCCCTCTTCTTTTAGCCTGTCTTTCTTTTCTTGCACATGCTGTGTTTTAGTTTTTTGAAATAAAGTATGCACATATTCAATTCAAACAAAATTAAATATGAAATTCATGCTATCTCAGAATCGTGTGCGTCCTTACACATTGTAGTAAAACTACGTTTTATTTTCGAAAGATATTTCTTCCATACTATATGAATCATGCTTTAATTACCTTTATACAAAACGGGAGGGATAAATGGTATTTATAATTTTACGCAATAAATAAATTTAAAAAATGAATCATTTTAGATTTGTCCTTTTTGAAAAAAAGTAATAATAATAATTGTTTAATGAACATATGTACACAATAATGTTCATTGAAAATTTTTTAAAATAAGTTGAGAGTTCCGAACATAAAGATGAGTTAAAGGTATTCATAATTTTACTCATTAAATTAAAAACAAAACAATCATAAAACCTGAGGCAGCTGATCATTTGAGGAAATGAATCAACGAGTTTGTATCATTTAGATCATATATATACAGCCAAGTATTGAGTTCAGAAACAAATGCTTGAATTGTTAAATATTCAAACGAGAACTTCGAAGACTGAAGTGGAGAAGGGTTCCATGTAAACAATATATATATATATATATATATATATATATATATATATATATATATATATATATATATATATATAAAATATGCAGAACAAGTGCATTAAACTTTCCGATCTTATCAGAAAATCGAGATAATCCTCTTGTAGTGTTCAACAATTAATTAGATTTTACTGTCTTGCATTATCTCAAGCTACACAATAGGTAACTATTTTTTCCTTATTAACTTTACAAAATATCTGAGAGATAAGAGAGATCGAATTTTTTTTTCATCTTGGATCTATTTTAGTTCTTTTGTGTATCCTGAAATCACAATAAACGAAAGAAATCTTTAAAATCTAGATTTTCTTCTTGAATGGAGCTCAGCCCTAAAAATCAATTTGCTATTTCTTACAAAAATAAATTGCTTCTTGTACATCCGATTTATTTCCTAGCAATATTTCATTAATTTTCTCTCTTCTTTTTTGTATTACTTGGATCTATTTTGTTGCATGAATCGTTTTTCTTGCTTTTATCAGCGAATGTACACAATGTTGAATTTCAATCTCTTAATTCATTTTACTTTGCAGATTCGAATCTAAATGTTTATTTTATATAAAATAAATCGTAAATGAATAAATAAATCGGATTAATTCTATTTCAAAGAAAAGAAATCGTTAAATGAATTGTTTGAAGTATATACATGCACTTCTATACCATAAAGAGTATTTTTATTCTTTGAGGGACGCCATGAATATTTGACGTTTATAATCTCACTCAATGTTTAAAAAAAAATAAGTCAATCTGAGAATTTGCTTAGGTTATAACATAGTTGCTGAATAAACATATTTACAAAGAAAGAAAATCTAGAAAATGATTTGAAATAAAATCTTTTTTTTTTGGAGGGGGGGGGGGCTACATGGGTATAGATGTATCAGTTACATGTAGACATAAATTCCCCCGAAGACATGAACGTTTTAAATATTTGAAAGTGCAATATAAAAAATACAAGTCAAATGGAAATGAAAAAAAAAAATATCTGCTTTTTTCTTGATTACTTGTCAATATCGGAGCATACTTTATCAGCGTGAACATGGCTATCAACTATAAACTCCGTAAAAAGAAGTCCAGAGAACAGTGAATAATTTTCCATTCTTTAAGTCTACACGTCCGTGAACTAGGTCAATCAGCATGAAATTCAACTCATTGCATATATCTACAAGCACATAATAAATTAGTCTTAAAACTGTGAATTATAAAAAAAGTTTAAATTTTAAGGGCAATTGGAAAAAAAAGATTTAATGGATTTTAAGCTAAAATTTGATCCGTAAATCATCCATATAAAGACACACACCTCAAATTAAGCACACCCAGCAAAAATAAATGTCAGGAAAACAATGAATAAATAGAAATTTTCAAAGTCTAAAATAGCTTTCGTAAAAATTGGTCAATGAAATTGAAACTCGAATTCGATCTGTAAGTCTTCAACAAAAGAAACGTACCAAAAATCAGTTCATTATCTACAAGGACGGTTGAAAGTAAAAGAATGATGGAATGACGGACGGAAGGAGATTGCACTACCAGTATATGATCCTAAGGTAGAAATAGACGAAAAATGTATGTAAACTAGATCTCGATTGTTAACTAAAACTAATTGTTAAAAACTGGGAAAAATCAAGAGGTACCAGTTTATATCCCAATCATTTCAAAGGGGGGGGCATACAAATTATATCTAAATATATGATATATAGATTTATTAGCAGTGGAGATATAGGAGTAAATGTACGTCTTCAATACTTAACATGACTGTATCAATAAAAATGATCAATCCCTCTGTATAGTATAGAGGCTGTTCTCGTGAGTTTCTCTTGCCCGCATTTCACTTGGTCTCTTTGTGTTTGAATATTTTTTCATTCCAGTAAAATGGCAACAATTATACTTCTCACCACTTCCAGCGGATTTATACTTCTTTCTGTGATAAACCTAGTAGTCGTAGCGTCAGTAATAGTATCTACACAGTATAAAGTTGTACAACAGATGAATGACAAAATTGATGATAGTGGTTTTCTGAAAAACATTTCTGCTAAATCTGCAATCATGTGCTCCCATTATTGTGTAGGAAATTGTATGTGCTTTGGATACAACGAACACAATATCTGTCGTCTTCATGAGGATTGTATAAATACTTCTCTATCAAGATCTGAAACAGGATGGCGGTATTATCGTAAGGAAAAAGGTGGGGAAAATAAATCGTTTTTACATTTTTGAGTTTGGAAAAAATGAAATATTATAAAAAATGAGCAAAAGGATGTTCTTATTTCTTTACGTACACATATGATTTGAATTAAGAATTTCGTTTTGTCATCTGTCACATTTCACGTAAGGTTTAGCAACCTACATGTACTTTGAAGAAATAAACATTCGTCATTTTATTAATTACTTTAAGAATTTAGTGGATAATAATTAAAACATTGGACTTTACTAATACATGTACTAAAATAGACATCTTCAAGGTACTTCTTGATATCTACCAGTTCTTAAGAATTAGTTGCAATTAACTACCGAAACGCAATTTATATCTACATTTTCATAAAACTCAACATGATGATCATTTTGGATACAGGCTTCGGGGCCACCAACATATAAAAATCTCAGGTCAAATCTCAACCTCAAATCTTAGATTTCTGCCTCAGCTGAGATTTTCCTAAACCACTGTGCCACCAACATTTCTGAGAGGTGTCTCACGTAAGCTGAGATTTGAGAAAAATTTTAGACTTATTCTCCTTGTTATATGCGACCTTTTTTCTTATAACGCACGAAATTGTTAAATCAATGATAGAATTTACCTTTCCGTTAGTTGTTTATGCAATATTTTGGTGTATAATCAAGAAAATACACATTCTCCACTTCCACCGTCTTTTATTTGCTGTTTCGAGTCATTCACGCAACGCATTCCATTACGATCTTTGCGACAATAAATATTCACCGAGGCCCCGTTAAATAATCCCTACAGAAGAATAACACAAAAAATATCCAAACTTTATGGTCTTGGCTCGTCTGTCGACATAAACACACAAAAATATACACCGAGGCGTCACTTCCGCCATTGTGACGTTACGTTTCGAAAGCTTACAGAAAGTAGATAGGCGGATCAAGAATATACATGTATTGACAGGCCGATGACACATTTTTCTTTCTTTAATTTTATTTTGTAAAATGTCAGATATGTATCTATTGCATTTTATTCTACATGGCAAAAATATTTTAGGTAAAGGTACATTTTGTCCCTATTTAGATTTTTTTTACAAAAAAAAAAAAAAAAAAAAAAAAAAAAAAAATCATTTTAAGCGATCAAAAGAAAATTAATTTTACCGCCGAAATAATGATTTAAATACTGCCAAATCGGTGTTAAGAAATAAACATTGATTTTTTTTTCTAGCCGATCAAATGCTCGATATAGAGCTAATTTTCTTACATCATAATTTTTTGAGTGTTTCGTAAATTTTGTGCATAAGTTGTTGCGACAGAAAACATGTCCAGGGGCGGGTAACATACTTGTATGCTTGGTTTTACATGATCCCAATTTATCAAGAAAATTTCGATACGAGTGTTTAATTGTCAGATAATTTCAGGTCCTCCCCCTTCTCCCGAAGAAAGAAAAACCTGAACTATACGGACATGTTTGTGGACGAGGTTAAATAAAATATCGCCGGCATGCATTTTGCACGATCCCTTGTTAGAAAATGTCAGAGAAACAGAGAAGAGGCTACTTACTACGATCACCTGTTAGAAAATGTCACAGAAAAATATTCTTCTTTTTAGATAGGCCTATGTTACACTGGGAATGAAGTGACGATTAACTGAATAATTCCTATTGTCATATATTGTAAATAAAAGTTTCATGGCGTGTTCATGTAATATTTGAAACTAAGGACCATGCTTTTTTCAAAATGTAATTTTTTTAAAGATTATACTTGTCGTGATTTTAACATGTACTTTCGAATGGTCATAAGTCAGGCTTATTCTTATAAATAATATATATGAACGGTCAAGGATTTTTGTGTGGAAAGTATTGTGAGAATAAAGTAGATCCCAAGTAATTCTCAATAAAGAATTTTATAGATTTAATTAAGAATCAAATTAAAAAGACTGTTATCATCAGTGATTAATAAATGGTGATTTATGAATTATTTCGAAAGCATAGAAATACTTGTACATGAAATTCTTTTAATATTTTCGTATAATTTACAAATAGATATTTTGTACAAATAAAAAAAATAACAAAACTACCGAAGAAAGAACTAAGAAGGGACCGTGGAGGTTTAATATTTTATCCAGCCATATGTCATTTTCTGATTTACATGAAAATTGTGATTTAGTATTCACCACGCCACAAATAGCAAATAGATGAATTTAATTGAAGATAGCATACATGTTATGACGTATAATTTATGCAACTAGAATATTGCTATTATTCTTTCTTTTTCGTTTTCTCTTTTTTTTCCTTGTAAAGTTTCCAGTGCATCGTTTCAATGCATGAACAATATCATAAGAATTTATTTTACGTGTGTAATCCCCCCCCCCCCCCTTCGTAAATACGGCATATCACAGGATGATCTAGTTTTGGAAGAAATTGACATGCTTTTCATGATTGCACGTTAATTTCGTGTATTCATGGATTAAAGTGTGCACTGTCAAAACATTTGCGACCATTTAACCATAAAATAATTCTGTGAGATTTTGTTTGAGACTACTAGGTACCAATCTCAAGATTTTCTGAGGAATCTCAGATTTTTTTCCCAGCTGAGTCGGAAAAAACGCTGGTGGCACGCATATTTTAGAAAAATCTCAGATTTGAGAAAAAACTCAAAAGATAAGTCTTAGTTTGAGAAAATATTTGATTGGTGGCACAGTTCGGTGAGAAAAACTCAAATTTTCTGAGAAATCTCAGATTTGAGAAAATCTCAGCGTTGGTGGCCCCGAAGCCAGGTTAGAATTGAACTACCAAGCTTATTTAACAATTTCTAACTGCAGGACCTATATCCATTGACTGCCAAGACTGGTATCTTACCAAAGGAGCTACATTGTCCGGAATTTACACTATACACCCTATTGGACACACGGCTGTTCAGGTGGACTGTGACATGGATACGGAAGATGGAGGCTGGACTGTACGAATAAAGAATTAAAAAAAAAAACAGGGAAAAGTTATACTGTAGAAGTACTTTTTACCATCTGGTATCAATTTACACATTGCACAAGGTCATACAAATTTCCATGAAAACTCGCGAAAGAATAATTAAATAATATTTAAGGCTGTTGGTAGAATTCTAAGAATTCCGCATAATTATTTTCTCCCCGCGAATTGAACAAAAATTCTGATTACGTGGAATTATAACCTGGTGGATAAAAATACTTTTACAGTTAAATATAATTCTTATAATGTCTTTAAGGAATCAGTACCACTTAAGAATAGGGTACAGTGTATAATATATGGTGATTTCAACCAATTCTTTATTGCTTTTCAATGTAGGACTAATATGCACAGAAAGCCTAATTTACGCAATAAAAAGTCTGTAAGTTTATGAACATTATCGAAGTTCATAATAGAACCAATATTGTTCTCTACACTACATTTTTTTTAATTTGAAAGCGTATTAACAAAGATAAGATACACTTTACTAAATGAAACACATATAGATAACGAACAGTATTTAAGCTCAAAAGTCCATTAAACAATACAAATTTAGGAGCAGAGCAAACACGGACCTCTAAAACATCAGAGGTGGGATCAGGTGCCATGAGGAGTGAGCACCCCATGCCGACCGGTCACACCCGCCGTGCGTTCCTTGTCATGACCTGGAAATAGCGGAAAAATCCGTCGACAATTTAGTGTGTAAATAATTGCCTAACAATTAGTACGAAAAACGTCAGTCAGCATTTGACTTAATGATAAATTGTAAATGTTCAAATGCGACTTTATTAAGATTGGTGTTTAAAAGATTTATAAATCGTTCTTAGTTTTTAGAATCATACAATCTGACACAGCCTTGTTTCTTATTTTTCACCTCTTTGGCATATTTTGGTAAATAAATCTCATCCTCAGAACCCATATACTGAGATCTGCTTTCAGATTAAAAACTGCCTCTTGCATGTTCATTTGTTAAAACTTGATAATATTCAGGTAATAGTAAAGCGATCGGATGGGTCTGTGGATTTTGCCAGGAATTGGGAAGCATATAAAAACGGCTTTGGAAATACCCCAACAGAGTACTGGATTGGTAGGTCATTTTTTGTACCAGTGACGAGAATGATAAATAATTAAACTAATACAAATTTACTTGACCGGCTAAGGAAAATTAAAGAGAATTTTTATTCATGAATTACATATATATCATGTCGGTATCATGCTTTCAGAAATGATATCATACTTGTAATGATATGTTCATGTAGTGATAGTTTTCAATATATATGCAGGGAACCAGCTCATTCACATTTTGACAAACTACAACTCTGCGTTATACATAGTGATTACTGACACTAATGACATAAACTTCTATGAGATGTACGATCATTTCTCTGTGTCTGATGAAGAGGATGGGTTCAGAATTTTCTTCGGCAATGCTGTAGGAAACCTCGGTAAGTTGCCTGAGTGTAAGTAATCATGGTAATTTATTACAATAAAAGAACAGGAAAAGTAGAAGTAATGCATTCAGGAATATATTCCTTAAATTGTCCCAACCTCCTTTCTTTGGCCTTGTTCATTAAAAAAAATATTTGAAAACAATTCAGTTTTTAAACTTGACTACAAAATTGATTAATTTGGATCAAATTTATTTATATTTGTGGGACTTCTTTGATAAATATATTGTTTTTTTTTTTTTATCCATTTCTTGAAATATAAAGATAACGAACAGCAATCAAGCTCGAAAGTCCATTAGAACAATACAAACAAGGACCTCTTCAAACATCAAAGATTGGATCAGGTTCCGTGAAGGAGTAAGCTTCCCCTGTGGACTGCTGCCGATCACACCCATCCTGTGCTCCTTGTCACAATAGGGTAAACAGAAAAATCCTAAGCCATTTCAGTGTGAAAATAATGGCCTAACATTTTGTATGAAAAAGTTAAGTCAACATTCGACTTAACGATAGATTGTATTTGCTAACAAGGTCACTTTGTCGACAATTGAATTTGCATTAATGTTGACATTAATGAAGACTGTTGACACTCTTGCTTAATCAACTTAATTATTTGGCAATAGCTTGACTCGTTTTAGAAATTGTTCGTACAAAAGACATGCTCTTTGGGAGAGAAATACTCCATGTGCAGATAATAATGGTATATTGCTACAGAAATAAGGGAAGTCGACGATAGAAAAGTTGAAGTCATCGTGTTTTTCATAAAGTTTAGTTGTTAGTTTGCCATTAATGTCTTTCTCAAGTAAAATACCAAAATATGTTAGACTGTTTGGTATCTTTTATTTTTGATTCAAAGGGATATATCGAGTCAACACATGGATGAAAATGAACAATGTTGATTGATAAAGCATGCTTGATATACTGTATCTAAATGTCGAATAGAAAGCTACAGAACGAAACATTCTTTTCATGTAGAAGTTTTTGAATACATTCTGCCTCATATAAATACAAAAAAGTATGGTAATAATGGGATGCATTTGCTACCCATGGGAATTTCAACAGATTGTTGGAAAACCTGATCGTTCCCCCCCCCCCATTTTTTTTGTCAATCAGAAACTCAAGCATCGTTTTTATAATATCTTTGTAGTACTTGAGTGTAGAATCAGAATGCATTTTTAAAAATAATGTTGCAGATGACCAGTGACAAGTTATGTTACATTTACGAGTTCCCTCTTTATTGAATATCAGTTGTCTATGATGTCAAAAATTATCGTGGGGAATGATTGTTAAAAGTGTAGAGCATGTTTTGATGCTATTGATTTTATAAAAAAAAAATTCATTTTAATTTTTTTTTTATATAAAGTTCCTTGGAGTTTTTTAATATCCACATCTGATTAACACCACTTCTCAAATATTGTGTTAAAAAGTACTCCTAAAGTTACTCCTTCATTGCTGTTTGGTGAGGAGTAAAGAGGCTTTGTAAAAAATTAATTACTAGAAACTGCTATGCATCTTTGTTTGTTAGGATTTTTATGTAGTTAAGGAATCCAGAAAAGTTGTGGTAAATAAAATTCAATTTGATTGCTGTAAATATAAAAATATTTAAAACGGGCGTATGATTTTGAAGAATTTCCTCTTTAGAAAAAGAACTATGAGTGTAAGCTTGATCATTTCTTCATTGTATATGAAAGCTTTTTCTACAGAATTCGACCTGCACGATAATTATCTCGTCATACAACATAAATGAATTTTAAGTTGCTGAAAAGATTTTAGGGATATTGGAATGCTCTGCGTATTGATAAGATTTAAGTAGATTGCATTGTCCTCCGAAGTTTTGGCGTTGCCAAATTAGGAGAAGTAGATGCAATTGATTCTTGGAAAAAAGAATAGTCATTTAAATTTCTGATGGAATCCATGCTCGGGAAAAATATGGACTCGGTCATTCAGATAAGTTTGCTTTTCAGTTTCTTTTAGGATGCCGGAAATTGTGCATGTGCTTGGATAGATTCAAATCATATTAAGTCAACTGATTTATGTGGACAAGCAAATAAAATATGTAAACATACTTATGTTATTATTGGATTTATGTTGATATACATCTTATTTATGACGACAGGCAACTTTTAAAAGAAACTCGAACGAATACCCACAGTTTGTAATGAAAAGCCATAACTAGGTTGCATGTTAAATTCGGAATTTATTTGATGAAAATTTTCCGATCACCTTTTTTTGCATGTCAATATATTTATCTTGCATGATGAGCATTTAAGAGAAACAAAATGCAAACTTGATCTGGAAGTCATTAAGGAACAAACATACCAATATCAGCAAGCGTTTAGGAAAAAAGTGTGGGAAACAAAGTGGGAAACTGAGTTTCCCTTAAACAATTTAAAAGTCGTTCTTCCATAAAAAATCATCAAAGTGGAACGAAATGCAGAATTGATTTGTAACTTATCAAAGAACAATCACATACCAAAAGTCCGCTCAATATCTGCAAGCGTTAAGAAAAATAAGTGCGGAAAACAGACTGACAGATAAATGGAGGGACTAACGGACGGACAGACTGACAGGAGGAAACCTTTAGTCCCCTCCAGTTTTACAGGTAGGGGACTAATGAGTTTTAAAAATCCAAATAATAACAAAAAAGTCAAGTTTTATGCCTTTTTCTAGTGTCCAAAGGCTTGGCAACCCTCCAATACCAATCCTGTATACAATGAGATATGAAAATAACGGACAGTTATGAGGCTCAAAAGTCCATTGAAACAATACAAATTAGGAGCAGATCAAACACGGACCTCTAAAACATAAGAAGGGGGATCAGAGTCCATGGATACTTTTTTTGACTGATATGCAATAATGTTTTGAGAAAAAAACTATACATGTAGATAATGTCTGAAAAAATGCATGAAATTTTGTTGGTTTTCTTCTGAAAGCAACGTGCTCTATATATAAGAACTTTCTATGTATATTTTAATGAGTTTGATAAGAAAAAATCGGTGTTTATTTTTTTCCCTTTTTTATTCGTGTTTTTATTACTCTGAATAAGGACAAAATATCTGATTCCTTAAAAAATAATAAAAAGAAGTTAAACCAAACTAAATTACTTAAACAATTAAATTTAAAAAGAACCTTACTTCCAATCGCAAAACATTAATAAAATATATATTAAAGCATTTCGTTTAAAATTATAGGAAACTCCATGATGTCTACTGAAGAAAAGTTTCAATTGAATGGATCAAGGTTTACCACCGTAGACATGGACCAGGACAATTTCCCTGACAACTGTGCCATGACGTACGGAAGTGGAGGGGGATGGTGGTACAATAGCTGTTACAAAGCCCAGCTGACTGGCCCATACGGTACCGCAGAGTGGGCATGGCCTTGGTATCCCGTGTTTATTGACGGTACAAGCATCAAAGCTGTCAAAATGATGATAAAGAGAAAGGTGCAATGACTGTTACACTAGTGATTAAGCCCCTGGTTTTAAGATAATATTGCGATGGATCTTTTCCCTTCTCATAAATAAAAAATATCATTATGATAAAAAATCTTTTCTACTGTGACTGACATTAATAATTATATAATAAACAAGAGAACTTATGTGATAGCACTAAAATGGGAAAGTTCTGCCCTTTGAAGAAAAAAATATTTTCTGTTGTTAAAACTCTACGATTCTTAAAAAAAGTAATACATTATATTTACCTGCGTAAAATATTTACTCTTTTTTAAAATTGAATTTGTTATGATAGATTTTGCCTCTGTGATTCCAGTTTCATAATTATTTATGCATTAAAAGCTTTTAAAAACAATATTTCATGAAGCGCGCTAGATATGCTAATGTGCAGGTCTATATGAGTTACACACCAGTAATTTACACTAAACTTAAAAACATTCCTTATATTTACATTTTACATGTTTAAAAGCACCAAAAATATACTCAATGTTTGAATTTTGTCGCTGCCCTATATCGTCTCTCTTTAGCCTCATTGTGACGTCATTTTCTTCGAGTATATTTCTACGCGTGAGTATACACGAAAATGGCATTTAAATCAGTTTCAGAGTTGGCTTAGTGGAAAATGTGATTTTTCTACGCTAAATCTTCGTAAAACCATGTTGTTACATGTAGCTGGTACAAATTTCTAATAGAGGAACCCCAACATCATTTAAACATCAACTCCAGAGTACTTGAGTGTAGAATCAGAATGTATTTCAACAAGATATGAAACTAGAGCAGAGCTCGTTGCAAAGCAACGAGTAGGTCTTCCGTTGGAGCTGCGAACAGGAAGAAGTGACCTTGAGTCAAGGTCATGCCACATTCTAAGGTTATAAGCAATCTTGTAAGGGGTATCAACTTGCAATGTCTCACCAGTAGAAAGACAGTTAAGGAATGTTGTTTCTCCGTTGATGACCTTGAACTCGTTCAAATGACCTTGCATCAAACCATGACACACTCTGGTTATAAGCAAACCCCATCTATGTGTTACCGACTCGACAAGTTAATACATGTTCTTTCAGACCATTCCCAGTCAAAACATTCTTTCCTTAGTGACCCTAAATTTAATCAACATGGCCGTAGGAACCGAGGGAGGGTCCCCCAATAATTTTGCCGATATATAGATTACTATAGTAGACATAGATACTATAGCTTGTGCCACCTCAATAAAAACGTCTGATAACCTTCTTTTTTTTTTGCATGTCAAGGAATTTTTGGTAGTTGGTGACCTTTTTTTTGCTTGTCAGGAAATTTATGGTAGTAGTGCCCCCTGAACTGTCGACTGAAAATGTATGGCTGCCCCCCCCCCCAAAAAACCCCCTGAATTTGCTTCCTATAGGCCTGATCAAGGCAATGATACACTCTGTATGATATCAGCGATACCCTTTTGTGTGTTTCGGAATTGACAAGTTCACAGTTTGCATTTATTTCATGATAGTGAGGGAGACATGAAGATTTCTTCGCCCATAAAAAATCATATTCCCCGAGGGCAACATGAAGATTTCTTCGCCCATGAAAAATCAAACTCCCCGGAGGCAACGCCCGAGGGAAATATGATTTTTCATTTGCGAAGAAATCTTATGTCTCCCTCACTATTATGCAATAAATTGTTTATAATACCGAATTAACCAAAATGCAGGAATTACAAAGGAGATCCAATGAATAAAGCAAACATGCATTTGATGAGAACGATATGAAAGAGATGTAAGTTACAGGTACACCAATAGCCTTGTTTCATTAAAAAAAAAATTCCTACGTGACAAGTTTGTGTGATCACACCAGTAACATTCAAACACCATTACACTTTTACACATTTAAATCGACACAATCAATCAACGATAATATGTTGACGGTGCGACCGTTGGGCGAGTGCATTGTTCACTTAATTTTAAGATCCGCCTCTTCAAACAGCACGAGACATTTGGAACGTCTAGACTGTGACGTCTCATGACGTATGTTAGCTGTATTTCCATAAACGAATTTTGAAAAGTGCAAACATTTTAACAAAGAACGTTTAATCTACTATCTGTATGCAATTCCATTAATTAAGGTGATTTTTGGGGGGTGAATTTTTAGTTGTTGTTACCGCGCGAACGAAGTTAGCAGCGTCGCTATAAACAATCTAACTCCTCACTCGTTTAATTGTGACGTCACAATCGTGAAACACGACGTTTTGTTGCAGGGCAAACATGATGGACACGTGACTTTCTCGGCCAATCAAATTCTATTTTACTAGTGATTTTTCACTTGTAAGCTAGTTTTCACAGAGGTATAATAAACGTTTTTTTAGACCATACATCGAAATAAATTATCGTAATTTCTATAGTCGTAATTTATTAGGTTCAACTCACTGCTTTAAAGGATCATTGTAAATGTTTTATGCCCGATTTGGATACTGAACAACGTGTGATTTTTGAAACACTGATGCCCCATATGGCATCTTATGGTAAAAGTTAAAAGTTTCTCAAATGCAAGTCAAACTCCATGGTCAAGATCAAAAGATAAAAAAAAATGTTATTACCCAAATAAAGGTCTTGAACAAAGAATATACTGTGAAATATATACTAGTATGAAAGCCACAGCAGCAACAGTTTAAAAGTTATGGCCAAGGTTAATTTCTTTAAAAGGTCAAACTCCAAGGTCAAGGGATCATAATTGTTTGTACTTGAGGGAAGGTCTTAATTGTTACAAGGAATACACATGTGGTATTAAAAAAACCTTACCACCAACTGTTCAAAAGTTAAAACCAAGGTTAAAGTTTTTCAAAAGTAGGACATACTCAAAGGTCAAGGTAAAATGGTCAAAATTAAAGGTATACATTGACAGGCCTTGTCACAAGAAAATTACCTATGTAATATAAAAGCCCTAGTACTAGTCATTCAAAAGTTATCGTCAAGGCTAAAGTTGTTTAAAAGTTGGTCAAACTCCAAGGTCAAGGTCAAATGGTCAAACATATTTATACCCAAGGAGGAGACTTATCACAAGGGATACAGATGTGAAGTATAAAAGCCATAGCACCAACTGTTCAAAAGTTTTGGCCAAGGTTATAGTTTGGTAAAATTTTGCGAAAGAGGATCAAACTCCAAGTTCAAGGTCAAGAGGTCAAATATGTTGGTACCTGAAGGAAGTCCTTGTTACTAGGAATACACATAAGAAATATGAAAGCAGTAGTTCCAACTAATCAAATTTTATGGGCATAGTTAAAGTTTTTGCGGACAAAGAGGCTAACACAGTCTAACAGACAAATAGACAGGTGGACAGGACAAAAACTGTATGCCCCCCGGATCTTCGATTACAGTAGCATAATAAAATGTCGGCGTCTTTGGGTTTTCGCATTGGCCTTAAATCTGAAAATCCAAAGGATTACAAGGTGCATTACGATACGCTTTCACATCATGTTCTATAACCCAGAGCATATTGTCTGCAAAGATAAATATTTAATTCAGTATTTAATTAGCTATGCATAATTATCTATGTTGTTTTAAAAAGGAAATATAAAAAAAAATATTTGTTTTATATTTTTCGATGTAGAGATATACAGAAAATGTTTTCCAATTTTAAGTCCTATCGCAATACACATTTTAAAAAAAGTGTGTGTTGGAGGGGGGGGGGGTCATTACATTTTTGCTGGGATTCACCTATGTATGACCGTAGAGAAACAAAGAGTGGGGAGGGTGCAAGCAGCAACTAAATCAAAATTTACATATTAAAACTACAACAAAAGACTATTTTCAGAAGGTCTGCCCCCCCCCCCCCCCCGTACAATCCGTACAACGGACCTGTGAGAAAAATACTGATCCTACATTCAGAGTCCCAGGGCACCAGGAAAGAGTGGCAAAAAGAGAATATCGGTTTATTTCAGTCTATAAGTCGAATCAAAATATCTTTTCCTCAAGAGTCTTCTTTCTTTGAGTTCTTCCCAGTGATCGTGTGATTTATTTCATTTAATTTACGTTCTGTACTGGACTTGGAAATTAAATGAGGACATCTTTAGGTTCCTGAGCTGGCCTTGAAGCCCGCAGAACAGATTTTCTGCTTTATGATAAATTCAAGTGATATGTAATTCGGTATTAATTTTGTGTTGATTTTATTAATGTTAATTTCATCAAGAAATATGAAAAATTAATGTTTTAACTATACATAGTGAGGCATTTTTTGTGTGGAACAATTATTTTGGGGTTTTCACGATTTTTTCATATGGTACACATGATGAGTAAGTGCAATAAATATAATTTGTGGAAAAAATGTCCAACAAGCCCCGGGGTTGAATATCAGGGGGGGGGGGGGTCTGTCCACAAGTACCTGTTGTCAAGCCCGTAGAAAACAATTTTAGTTTTTTGGGAAGGGGGGGGGGGGGCAAATAGAAATTTCCACAGGTACTTGTACTCGATTTTTTCCTATGGTACACATGATGAATAAGTGTAATAAATATAATTTGTGGAAAAAAATGTCCAACAAACATTGGGGTTGAATTTTTTTTGGGGGGGGGGGGGATCCTGTCCACAAGTACCTGTGGAAATTTCTTGATACATAAACAGAATTTAAAAGCATGTATTAGACATCTTTTGAAGGGGAGAGGGCACGGCCGTAATTAAAAGTTATATAGAGACTAGGAAGGAATGAACTGTCATTAAATTTTGGCTAAGAACTATTACTTAAACTCTTCACTTTCACATTTTCAATTACAGATTCTTGTTTTTAAAAAGCTATACATGTACATTTATATGTATCTATTAGATGCATAAATTATGTTATTAATCATTTTATCTTAAAGGAAAAGTAAAAATCTCAATCAAACTTGTTCCGCATATTGTGCTCTCTGATTCATTACTCAACAGATGCTTTATATACATGTAAGAAGGGAAGACTGCAGACTGCAGGTGTGATAAATTCACAGCATGCAGCTCCAGCCTTAATTCCAACTTTGTTCCAAAATATTTTTATTCAACGCGAAAAATTAG